GGTTGCCTCTGTCCTGTAATTATGTTTTTCCTTCCCCATGGTCGTGGTGACAGATGATGACAGCAGTGGAAAAGCTGGTGAAGGAAACCTCCTGGTGGAAGAAGAGGAATGACGGCAGTGAGGGAGTGAGAGAGAGACAATCCCAGACCTGGAACCACAGAGGTATCTGTCTAGACACCGAACAGCTGTCTTCGGCTAGAACTTGCACACTGCAACAAAAAAAAGGACCCACAAGTCAGTAGTCTTGTCTCAAAAATGATTAAAATATTAACAGCATAGCTTGTTAACAGTGCAAATTAACTTTTTAAATGAAGTCATTGAATAGAGTACCATTATCTTGGTACTAATCAATTAAGTACTCAGCTTTACATTAAAGATCCCCTTCAGATGTGTATTATATACAAATAGTCTGCTTGGACCGGTAATATGTTTTTCCACATTAAAACCTTTACAAAGGCATCTACTTCTTCTACCTTATAAAAAAATCTATGAAATTCTATTAAAGACTCTATGAATATGCACATTTAGTTTATTTCTAAACTTTTCTTGCTACACACAAGAAGTCGCCTACTCTACGTCACACTTGTATAAGTTGCATTCTGGGCCAGGGTTGACTTCCAAAATATTTGTGATGTTGAAAGTCATGCTTGTAGGCCCCACCCCTTAAAATGTGATTTTCCATGAGCACAGAGAAACGTTCCATTTTCACCAGATAAATGTAAAAACATCCTTCTAGTGTCAAACTCTGCACATACATCATTCCGCACAGTGAAGCTCCAACATCCAGCTATAGGAAGAAGAAGAAAAGAAACCTATTTTTAAGCACAGGGGGACTTTAAAGACACATACCATAGGCCTTCTTTGCAGTAGATATTTTGACTTGTCATAGCAGTGAAATCAGATGGAACAAATATAACCTTAGCGACAGCTCCACTCAGTTTGAGTATTCCATTAAGGTACCAGGGCCCTGCAACTGAAACACGTAAGCCATAATTCATTTTATTAATTACGCCTGTGCTTTTCATGCTATTACAGGTCAAAGTCTAGCCTAATGACATTTTTAAGTGTGTAAAAATGTATATTTCTTGCAGTGTGTGCTGCTCTCCTGCTCTGCTCTCCATTCTCCCGGCTCCAATTTTTCAGGTGAGTGCCTGATTGCCTCACTGATCCACAGCACAGCCAAACACAAGGCTTTGTTTATTTAACAATAGGGCTCAGCCAAGTGTGCACAGCTACAGAAGAGCTGCCTTAACAAAACATGACAGTGATAGACATACTGACTTAACTGACATTTTACAGGGCTGCAGCAACTCCCCATTTACAAATCCCCTGTCCCTTAAAACTTCAGTCATGTCACTCATGGCTTTAGGTGAGGCAGTCTTCTGCTGTGAATGACATGAATGAGCAGTATACACAGAGAGCAGCTTATAAACAAAATTAACCAAATGGGTAATTTGATGTGAATTTTTTGCATACTTTCTCATGAGTCCACTTAGTGTGCAGTGCATGCCAGTGCTTGCAAATGTTCTTGTTTGTGTGTCAGAACAAATAGTAGCGTGTGTGAGTTGAGTTGTATTGTATATGTGTGTGAGTGTGTGTGTGTGTGTGTGTGTGTGTGTGTGTGCATGCTGTGTGTATATTTATGTGTGAAGCTACAGAAATAACAGAGGGCATGGTATAAAAAAAATCCTGATTGTTTCTGAGGGATTATCCCTCACAATGCAGGGCTTTATCAAAGGGCCTGGACTGCTGTAACAAGACACGCTCGCCCCGGGTTCGCCCAGCCAAATACTGAGAGTTACGCCAGCAACGAATCACAGGGGGGAAAAGAAATGAATAGAGAAAAGAAAAGAAACACGGACGGAAAACGATGGCGGAGGAGAGCAAAGACATGGGAAGAAAAGTGGAGTGAGAGGGAAAGTGGGAGAGAAATTAAGGAGGGGAGTGAAATGTACAGAGAGAGGCAGAAGTTGAACAAGTTTAACTGGAGGCCATGCTTCAAACAGAGAGGTTTGTTTTCTGACAGAGATCCCTCTCAGGAGATCGAGCTGGAAAACAGATTAATAGAAGCTGTCCAAGTAACTCTGATATTGCACAACGTGTGCCTCAGCACCACGTGAATGCTGTGCATTACACTGCACAGGGCTTAGACGTGGCTGTTTGTATGTTAAAGCCTGATGTACGTATATGCTGCTGCTACACACCAAGTCTTCATGTTCAATCTCCTTGACCAGTGGTTGGTCCCTTATCAGACATCTTTCAGATCTTTCATGTTTGTTGTTGTTGTTTGCTCTGTGAAGGAGAGGTGTTTTTGATTGGGTTGTTTTATTTGCTTCCTTTTATAAGACTTTCTCAGCAGGATCAGGTTGCTGTGCCCAGGCTAACCAAGCTCTGTAAAGGGGAGCTGTGGTTTTGGAAATGGGGGGGGGGATTTGGCCGCTCTGGAAGGGGCTTTAATATGGGAGTAGGGGGAGTAGATGGGCTGGTGGTGTGCATGGTATTGTGTGAAGCTCTGTGACTTCATATATTCATATGACACCTCCACTCCCAGCACTCATGAAGAATATTCTTTCAGACTTGCTAATTTACTTTTATTAGCAGTTCATTTTTTTGGTATGTGTTGTAAGGGCCAATGCAATATAACCACACAGCATGATTGAATGTTTATGTTTTATTGTTATTATATTTTGAGCTGGTTGAAGCCCAGATGAATGTGATTATTGTGTACTTATTTCTCTATTAGTGAGTAAGTATGTCAGTGTGTGTTGGTGTTCCTGGCAGCGTGTAGATGTCCCCTTGTGATATCCAACCTGTGCCAGTGGGAGTTTCAGGCTTCACACTGCACTGACTGGACAGACCAGTGTCTGTAACAGTCCCAGCACGATTTGCTGTTCTCTTAACTCACCTCTCCTTTGGTCTTGCACTCAGGATGAAGGATTATGCTTATTACCATTTTACTTGAAAGCACCCCTAGTGACTTGATGCTTTTCCTTGCCACAGTTCAATCCCTTCTGAGTGAGGGTTCAGGGAAAATGGCATGTAACGTCTAAAATACTCAGTCTCAGGGTGTGAACATGACACTGTTTCCTGTATATACTGTTTTAGTTACGGTCGACTTTCTACAGGGTGTATTTTGAAACCGTTACAGATACACAAACTCAAGCCAAGCAGGGTACTGAGTAGCCAGCACTATTGTTTCATAGCTACTCAGAATTCTCAGGGTGTTGCTTTGCTTCAGCTTTGACTCCACAACTCGCACGCCCCGAATGGTGCACCCAGTTTTTGTTTTAAACTTGGGTAATAATACTGAACTGTATAAACTGCATGGGGGTTAATTTACCCATGTTCTTCTTTTGTTCATAAAACTTCCAAATACCAGAGCCAAAACTATCTACCTTCCAAATTCTCAGAGTACTACCCTCGTCCACATGGACAGAGAATGAGGGATTGAGGGGGTGGCAGTGAGACGGGAAGAGAGCTGTTTATCTCTCATCGCTGCTCTTATGAACAGAGCAAGAATGGATGAGTTGAGGCAGATGGGGAGAGAACTCAAAAGCAGCTGAATTGTAATTATTTACCCTAAAAGTCCTGTTTTGACTGTTTGGAATTTACTCCTTTCAGACTAAAGCACTAGACGCACAGTGTTTGTGGGAGTGTGGGCTATGGGATATGCGTGTTCATAGCTTTGTGTGTGCTTTCAGCCTGTCCTGCGTCATCGTTGCTCTTCTCTGTTTATGCAGGGGCTCTGTGGATATGGAGAGGGATGTTACGATTTCCAGGCCTCCCACTGTCACCTGATATGTATGGAGAACAGATCAGGTGATTGGACAAGTCCACTTCCACACAGCTTCCCACCAGGGCTTCTGAGCCAAGTCTATTTACTGTCTCATTCATGCCTGTTGTGAGGTCATCTTTATTCAGTTAGGGTCTCGCCAAGGAGTCATGAAGCAATCAAGAACGATGCAATGTTAAACTGGTTGGTCACACCAAATGGCTGATGAGCAAATCTGCTTGGCCTTAATGTCACTATATCTATTCCCACATCAATGTGATAATTGTGTTCAAGGTGGACACTCGAGAGTATGCTTTGCCTGTCTACACTGGTGGCCTATTGCATTGTAAGAGAAACGGGGAAGGGCAAAGGAGAGGCAGAGAGGGACAGATAGATGGAGGAAGGGAAGTAGACAGGGTTGAAGAGATAGAGAGGGGCCCATATTGAGTGACACAGACTATGGTTTGTGTTTTCTCGGTGGAGCAGAGAAGATGCAGTCTAAATGAAGCTTGCTGCAGCATGGCGGTTTCTGCTTTATCCTTGCACTGTGTGTGTGTGAGTGTGTGTGTGTGTGAGTGTGTAAAGGGGAAATGACAGAGGCTTCTTTGAGTACTCAGAGGCCACTGTTCTCCCTCTGTTGTTTCATGGTTAGAATCATTTGGGAGTAGTGCCATTCTCCATGCAAAACCCATCTCCAAAGATAACAGGAGGATAAACAACACAGGTGAACATGGATAAATACAGATTATGCATCCACCTGAGTGGTAAAAACACGCTGTCACAATTGATCCACAATGGGCGCCAGGATGTGTTTATCTAATGGCACATAATCTGTTTGTGAGAGCTTGTTGGAACCACAGCATTTGTAAGAGAGACTATTTGTTTTCTTCTTTTTATTTTCATCTAATTTGGAAGGACATTAAAACCCTGTGGTGATTTTGTGTCTCTGTCAGGGCAGTCTGTAGGACGAGGGCCTCCTCTTGTGTTCGGTGTGTAAAACTACAAAGACAATGGGAGGGTTTGGCACATTGGCTATATACTACGCATTGATATGATTTATAACATAGAGGGTAAAATACTATGCTCACTTCACTGATTTTAATAAAAATGAGGAAAAACTGTTCTTGAAACTATTATAAGTCAAATCATTATGGCCCAGTTGGAGCCAAGCATTAATATTAAAATTTGGTACAAATTTAATTTATGACCACTTCCTTCATGACCACTTCCGTCATGACAACTTCCTTATTTTCTCGAAGCATATTCCGTGAAATATTTTCCTGCTGCAGTCGGGTTTCTCATCTGCTTCGACAAATGTATCAAGGAAAGCGTCCTCAAGGAATGATTCCTGCCATCATTATGGCATTCTGTGTTGGAAAATCACTAGGTAAGAGATTGATAATGTTTCTCTCCTGTTTTTCCAGTTTTGTAGGGTTATCTTTACTTCCGGTAATGGTGAGCTGCCGTCTTAGTCTACTAGTTTTCTTTCGGTTATGCTGTTTCTGTTTCTTTTATATGATGTTTGTAGAGGGTCTAAAAGTTTGTTGATACGATCCTTTATTTCACAGAATGTGATCAGAAGAACACTTCCTGCAATGGCATTAAGACTGGTGGCGGATTCAAGTTCCCTCATGGAGGACCTGAGGGAAGTGAGATCTACGTCTATGATAACGAGGTATTTTAATTTGCGTTTAAACTCTGTAATAGTGATAGTTAGATAGTGATAGTTTTGTTTGATAAAATCGTTTTGACAGAGGCTTCCTGGTTGTTCACTATGGGTGACGAGAGAAAGAGAAAGTGAAAGTGTTGACATTTAGGTTGTCCGGTCTATGTTTGTTCTGAATTAAACCTTTTATCCCAACAGACTGTGCTCATTGCTTACGCTTCGCTTGGCGATCAGTCTTTTGAGTTTATGAACAAGGTGATGAGCATGGACAACTATTCAGTCATTACAAGAGACTGCCAAGACCTGCAAGTAAAACACATAGTTCATCATGTGAGTTTCCCTCTATTATATGAATTGAATCAATAAAAGTTTTGATTTGTTGTAAGTGTGAAATATGTACCCTTACTTTGTTTTTGATTTGTAGGGAGAGCGCTTTGTAAAAGAGATATGTTTGGATTATAAAATTACAGGTAAGGCAATGAGGTGTTGTAAATAACTGATTTAAGATTGAATTTTATTGTACCGCTGATCATAAATACATAAATAATATATTATATATATATTATACACAATTATCCCAACTTTTTTATCAACAGAGAAACTGGATATTGATTCAACTGATTCACCAACACCAATAATCATCGGTGAGTGGAATTTTATTATTCCAGTGCCTCAACATTTTTGTTTACCTTACTGTGAATTAATGTAAAATACCTCAAAATTATTATTTGATTTTCATTTGGTCGTCCAGGTATTATATTTGGTGTGATATCACTCATTGTGATCATTGTGATTATTCCTTTGTGTTACGTTTCTTGGAAGAAGCTATTGAAGTGAGTTCTATTCTATTTGCAATAACTATCAACCATTCATTTCATTTACACATTAACTTACACATCTTGAATGGATTCAGAAATGTTTGTTTGTGATTTGTTTGTTGTGTCAGGAAGCAGCACGGTGCAAACACAGTTTCTGAGCTCACTTTCATGCTGAGTTTTCTCAGACTGGGGATTTCCAAGGCACAGAAGGAGGAAGAGGAAGGAGTTGGGTCAGTGTTACTTTTCACATTTGTCCATCATTAAGTTCCAGTTATTTAAATCACTTTCAATGCATATCCTTATCAGCATATAACCACTGACTTTTAGGAAGACAAAGTTGGTCAATGGTAAAATAGAAATAAATAGATTTTAATAGTTAAAGTTCAATACGTGTTTCAAATATTTTCTTCAGCTGAGCTGCTCTTGAGAAAAAGGGAACTAGAAATAAGTCAAATGATGTTACTTCATTGACAGTAAACATTCAGAAGCTACATTCAGCTCAGTGATCACATATTTTCTTTGTCATTATAGTTTGAATGAAATGGGATATGCCCCTGACCCACCTGGAAGTGGTGTTGAGCAAGATAACACACTTGACAGTGTGCATGTTCACAGGTCAGACTTTATCAAAACTGTCTGTGTTTTTGTGGAAGTCTAGACTATAATCTACTAAAAGCTACCTTTGTCTCCATAGTATTGATCCTACGGCTGAAGGCAAGACTACTCAATCCCTTAGTCTGGACCGCAGCTTGAGCAACGAGGGAATCCAACCCCCTAAAAAGTGAGAAGAAAAATAGTTTACTTTTGTTTGTGCCTGTAGCCAATATTCCTTTGAAGATTTAGGTGAAGTATCCCTTTAACTGGGCAGGTATAGTGAGTGAGATTTCTCAGAAGAGATTCAGTGCCATTCTTATCTAGTATTTGTTTTGCAGCGGAGACATAACTGCCCCTGACATTTACAGAGCCTCTAATCATCGAGCCAAGCACAGGTAAGCTTTTTGGTATTGGAGTGTGTTTGTTATACATTTTTTAAATGAAATTCTTTATTTAACAACTACTGTCCTTATATGTCTTCCACAGAAAGGTGAGGGATGATCCAGGAGGAGAGAACGACAACAAAGGAAAAGACAGGTAAGTAGTCTAACAATTTTGATAATTGTGTATGTTTTTATTTTCCTTTTTATATTACATTTAGGTAATACAAAAAAGTATACATGTATTTACATGTGAGGTGAGAATGTGTCCTACTGAAGCCTCCAAGAATAGTTTAGTATGAAATATTTATTATTCATTGTATCAAATGTAGTTATTTTACAGAAACCCTCTGGGTTTGGGCTGCTTGCAAAATGATCTAAAAATTGAAGCAAAAAAGTCCACAGTGATCCTGGCAAGTCCATCAGATGACTATAGATTGATCTTTAATCAAATTTAACTTTAATTTTGGTGCAAAAAATGCACAGAAGCATTGAAAAGATACATAACACAAAACAACATAACAGAAACTAGACAGACAACAACTGCATCACTGCATGCACAACTTGAGGTTGACCTGAAGCACTAACTGATAATGGCTGTGAATTCTTCTGCAGGGACACAGCCAATGGGTGCACTGTTGGTGTTAGTGGTCCTGAAGATCAAGAGAATGAAGGACAAACGCTGCTCTTGGATCAGCGGTGAGACTGCCTCTTGCTTTCTGTCACTCTGCGCAGAGAAATCTCTGTAGCTTTCCAATTTCTAGTCTCCTTTATACCTTGTTTCATTTTGCCTGTTGCTGCTGTTTTGACAGCTGTCAGGAGTAACTTTATGAAGTTCTCCACCCACACCCATCCTAAATCTGAAGGGTCAATCTGAACTTCAGAACTTGACATCTGCTTGGAAAGTGAGCATAAACCGAGCTTTGCTGTTGCTTTGCAGAGTTTCATGTCTATTCCTTGTTGTTTGTGTCTCCAGAGCTGCCATCCAAGGTGAAGCTGCAGTTTCCTCTACTGCACCAGTAAGTAGAAAGCTTTTTATACATTATTTATTCCTTCTTTTCTGTAAAAGTACAGAATGTTGTTTTTGTTTGACTTAGCAATTGCTTTGTTTTCTGCAGGACACTGACGTGGAGTCAACATGAAGAACTATACAGATACATAAATCTTGAGTCATAATAATAATAATAATAATAATAATAACCGTTATTATATACAATATAAAGTTTTCTCACAATTAGGATATGTGGTACCTTTTCTGGCAGCTCCTTTGGATGAGTCCAGCACTTTTGTTTAAATGATCACTTTCATCCCATAATGCTTTTCATAGTCGTAGAAGATATGTATATATTATTTACAAACCCATTTGTCCATAATTTCACATGATTACAACATATTTACATCATTCTGATGACCTGAAGTTTTCTTCACAGAAAAAGTAGACAATCCTGGTGGAAACCGGTCTTGTCTGTGCGTTGGTTTCAGCCTGGTCAATCACGCAGATAATATAACATATTGATTTTGGTCATTACATTTAGAGGAACATTAGTTATTACATTATTATATTACATAAATTACATTATATAATAATTAAAATAGCTGAGAAGTGCATGGCTTGACCAAAGGATGGGTGGATCCAGACAGAAAAAGTACCACATCCAAAGCTGTGAGACAACTTATTATATTAATACATTCAAGTGAATGTATTAATGCACTTATAAAACAGGTATAGTATAAATACATACAGTACTGTATTTGTAAACTAAACAAATATTATATAAAATGTTCTATATTATATTATATCATATACCTCATTAGAGTGAATATTATTATCAGATTTCTTTTCTTTCATTATCTACAAGTAAGTTTTTGTTTATCTGATTAATTATTAGTAAACCTGCTTTTGCTCCATTATTGCTGCATAATCTAGGAACATGTTTATTCTTATTATCACCTGAATCCCAGAACCCTTTTTTGGTAACTTAAATCTTTTTCGGTATTACATGCCTATAATATATGTAATATACATATTTTGTTGCATTGCTTTTGCTTTTTAATTGATCAGTAGTGACAATAGGAATATAAACAATTATGATGATGATGATTTTTTGTAATGAATTTTGAATAAAATCCTTTACTCCACCCTGGATTTCACTGCCTGCTCATATTTTCCCTTTGTTTCTAAACTGAGTAAACACTGCACTTGAAGTATCAACTTTATACCATAAGGGGGCAGTAAATAGTCATAAGTCATACAACACTGTTATAGGCAACACAATTACGTCTCTTATTAGTTCCGATGAGTGATGCAAACATAATTAATGCATATTTATTCAAGATTGCAAAAGCGTCAATTCTCAATTGTACTTACACCTAAAAAATATAAACCTTGTTTTTACACACTGTATTTCTACACTATTACAACTACAGCGGGTAACTAAAGCTCCCTTATAATGCCGTTGATTGACTATTATGTGGTTCTTCTATGCAATCAGTGTCTGTGTTTGGGTTGATCTCTATTTTCTAGTATAGTGCTCTAATTTATTAATCAATTAATAAAAGGACAGTAAATAGATTATACATCTTTAGTAATTTAAGAGCTGTATGCTACAGTACTTAAAAGATTTGTTTCCCTGGTGACTTGATGTATGGTAGTAATTATACACAAACACACAGGGGTTTGAGCTTGATTTAATACATCTCTTTTCTCTATCTCTTGGGATCTGGTGAGAGATACTGTGAGTCTTGCGTTAGTTAATGTCTGATTCTATTTTTACCTCCCTAAATGTGCACTGACCTTGAAAAAAAAACTTTTTTACCTCTAAGATGGACGGAGTACCAGGAAGAGAGTGGGTCGGGGGTTAGAGGCTTTGTTGCTCATGTTTGGTATGTCAGTGTGTGAAAGTGTTATTGTACCACCGGTGAAAAGAGGGTGATTGAATGGTCAAGGCCCCTCTCTGGGAGTTTCACTGAGGGGACATGAGCGAGGCAGGGGCTGGGCAGATGGGTTGATGGGTAGGGGGTGGATCATCACATGTCATCATACATGTACAGCGTACTGTATGACATACAAAAAAGAGGTACGTGGGAGAGGCTGCAATTATGGATGAACCGTTTATGCTCTGATGCACATAATAATAAGATATGTGCTAATTAGTTACAAATCACACTCCAACGTATTATGAGCAGTCAAGGAAACAAAACTCAGTGGGAGCTGAACACTGATCACACCACATTGGGGATAGGGAGGCTTAAGGGAAGCTAGAAGGGTTGCAATAACCCAGACACTTAGGTGCGTTATCCCTAACTGATCTCTAGTTGATCACAATGTTTATGCTTACTCTGGAGTGTATTAAAGATCGCCTACTGTTGTGTACTGCTGTGGCTTAACAGACAGCTGCAAGCAAATAGTGTTGCATTCAAAATCAGTAAGCTGTATTCACACAGCAGTTATTAAAAGATTACATCAGGGATCACACCACACCGTATGATTAATTAACCTTGACTGATGCTTTGTAAAACTGAATCCAGCTGAGCAAGTATGCCCACAGGTCTGCATGTACATACAGATACAGTACATATGAGATGGTTGAAAGCTTCAGTGTAGCTGGCCTCGTTAATGCTGGGTCACTGTAGTGAAACACAACCTTGCTTTTTTTTCCAGATTGGAATGGGACTGGTCGTCAACCTCCCCCGGTGCTCAATGCTCTTACTAGTCCCTGTCCAAACACTAAGAGTATTGGGGCGATGGGTTTTGTCGCCTAAAGTGACAGCTTGCTATTTTCTGCATCTCTTTGATCATTTTGTGTAGTATGCTTGGACAGAGACCAGCGTTTGACAGAATCATCATCCCAACCAGCAGGTCAAATCTGCATATGCATACAGTGTGTGGTTCAAAGGGGAGCTGACTCAGGAAGGGCCTGTGTTGCTTGGCTTCAGTCCCCTGCTTCCCGTGGTACACAGATGAACAACAGCACAATGCTGTCGTAACCTGCAGGACAACCTATGAATAAAACATAAACCCTGTATTATTGCTTAAAGACATCTTTTCATTTCCAGTTTGACTCACGAGGTAGGTATATTGTGAAAGATACAGTATAGTAATAATTTCTTTGTGCTTATATCACATTGGCACATGCATAAGCACACAAGCAATTATGCTGTACATCAGCATTCAACCCCACACTTCACAAGTGAGTCCTTTCAAGATGTTCCCACAGAAACCGTGAAGCACGAGCGGTGTATATTTTCAATAGTTTTTTATTAATATGTGCTGATACAAGGTCGCTCTGACCTGCGATGACGCAAACACTCACAGAAAATCATCCCCTTTGGCCCAGACAGCTGTCAAAGCAATGACCGTGAGAAAAAAATGTCAAATAAAACATATGAACATCATTCCTCAAAGAAAACAGAATCAAGGTGTTATATTAACCTCAATTTACAAATGTCTCAGTGGTACATGATAAACGATCCATTTCATAGAAAAATCACAGAAAGCTCTGGAAATGGTGCTATACGTAGGACCCCACATGGCACAATGTCAGTACTCATCGTCTCTACCAGTGCCTACAGTCTTCTATGTAAAACCACTAACTCCCAATAATTTATTCCCATAAATTTAAGCATTTCAGGGATGTCCAATACTGACCAGGTTCTGCTGTACTGAGCTAATTAATACAGCCCTTAGCTGATACTTAGAATATCCCACTCACAGCAGCTATAGCCAGCTATTCTACCTCTGATGATGTACACAGACCGTCTGGGGCAACATTTCCTGGCCTGTCCTGTGGATGATCACTACAGCCATGGACAGGCACGTGCAGGCACAATTCAGCTCCTCCCCACTCTCAGAGACAGTGCACCCAGCGGAAGAAAAAGGAAGAAAAATAAAAAATCATGCCTACAGATTCAGCCTGCTCTTGCTGCATGTGGATGGATGTTAACAAGTAAACAGCAGTCTTTCTCCACTTGAGTGTATAAAACTATCTAACCTGGCTGAAGATGTGTATTATATATATGTCTGTGTGTCAAAAGATATGTTTGTTTTGGTTTTGGACCTTGGGGTCTCTATGTAGAATGGGCCTCACAGGTTTAGCATTTGGAGAACCTCATCCTACTCAAAAGCCCCTCTGTTGTTGGTCCCCCCCTGTGCATCAAAGATGGCCGCTGGCCTGAATTGCTGGCACAGCTCCACGGACACATATTTACCATAAAAGAGAAACAGCACAATCCTCCCCACTGGGTTTATGCCATACCCCTATATATTTCTTAAAACTACTCTAAAAGTACTTTATAGCAGTCATGTGGACACGTAACAAGAGACCAATAACAAAATAGTACTACTTTATCATTGTTTACATTTGCTTTTTAAAAATCTCTATAGGAAAATCCTGTTGCATTTGTTAGCACTCTAAAAATCTTGATTTAATCGGCTGATGCGGCAGTGGATTCATTTTCACATTTTTTTTAAAGGAAGCATCCATTTGACCAAACAACACCCACATCATCTTTCTTCCTCTGCAGGAAGATTTGTTTTATTCTATGAACAAACTTGAGATCTGACATGCCAGCTTGATCAATTTAAACAATAAAGTAAACCTCTGGACTGCAAACCACCACCCTGTAACAAAGTAGCACATCCATCTCCTTATCTCCAGAGCCAGCTCTCCACAGCCTCACTGCAACCCCCCCTCACCAGTCTCTCTCACACTGCCTATGAATGTGTGACATCTGTGACATCTCTGCTGATGTTGTCCCAGCTCTGGGCCACTCTATGCACACATAATGATGACCCTCTGCTCCTCTGCTGCTGTTGAACTCACACACCACTATTCTCCCCCCCAACTGCTCTCCTGGTGTGATATGCACAAATCACTGGTAAGAAAAAAAAAAAAAAAGGTCTGTGTGTGAAAGGGTCAACAGCAAGTAAACGGACTGTAGGCCTGCTGGGACCTCTGCTGTCTAATGATAGACTGAACAATGCCACAGCTCACTCTCCACTGACACTGAGCTGCAGGGGTGAGACAGCATTATGTCAAAAGTTCGGTATCCCACCTTTAAACAACTTCCCACCTAACCACTGGAGCACACACACATCAGGCTTGCCGGTGGCAAGGAATGGGAGTTGTGTTAAACATTTGCAGGCAGAGACAGAAAAAGAGAAAAGAGAGCGAGGGTGAGTTCACTGCAGTAAATTAGTACCCACAGAGTTATTATTGTAATCAGAGGTTTTGAGGGCTTTGAATGGTGGAAAAACTCCCGTTGTGTTAGCCTCCGTCCGACAGCACGGGCCGCAGACCTTCTACTGTATAATCACTATCATTTACCACAGTACAGCACTCCTTTGTTTATTGAGATATTAATCTGGGATAAACAAAGCTTTTGACAAAACAAATTAACACTCTCAAAGAAGTGCTGCACTAATGGAGTCCATTGAGATTGATATTAAAATGTGGATGAGATGGCAGAAGAGGGAGGAAAAGAAAAAGAGCTGGGAGGTGCTGGAAAAAAGAAAAGCAGGCCCAAGGTGACGCACATTCCTCCTCTCATGGGGAGTGTCTGTCTAAACAGTGTTTTTCCCTGGGGTGGGTCCCAGCTGAGCAGTAGAGATCAGCATCAGCATATTATGTCAAATACAATGAGAGAGGGATGAAGTTAATGATGATGGTGATGAGAGTGATGAGGAGAAAGATGATGATGGCTGCCTTGTGTTTCCCATTAACACTTCCACCCTGGAGTGAATTGCTTGATCTTCAATCCTGCTTGTTAAAATACATTCAGTTGTCCTCAGTTGACCAGCGAGTGCTGCTCCGGTACGGTGCCCCACCACTGAGCCATAAGATCTGTGCTTCACATTGTCCAGCACAGCAGCAGAGCAGAATACATGTGCATAATGTCTTTTCATTTGTAAACACCGACAGCTCCCAGGGTCAGCTGCAAATCCAAGTCAGCTACCATCAAACCAGTATTGCACATGTTCCCCCTATGGCTCAAGTGATGATACTAGGGCCTTCTTTCTGAGCCTCATCGTGCTCCATGGCCCATACAATGTTACTTACACAAGTGATTTGAATAACAAGAATAAATGGTGGCAAATCCTTGTAATCCCTCTCCCTTATCTGTCTTTAACCCTCTCTCTCTTTCAGCCCCAGGAGCCACAGCTAAAAGCTGTCCTTTGGGTTCTCTTAGAAGTGGGACAGTCGGGCCCTAGCCAAATGTCACACTGCAGTGGATGCATTTATTTTCTGCTCACGTTCTGTCCACACATCCCACTTTTTCGCTAGGCGCAGGTTTACGAGGGAGACAGTCAAAAGGAAAGAAAAAACCCAATGCCATGAATAAATCAATGTGAATAAATATTCCAAAAACATACATAAAAACTGATAAATAAGCCATAACAAATACCTATAAATACAGCGTAGAAGAAGGCAAACTCTCAGTTTTTTTTTAAAGGTCAGACAGATTTCAGCTGGATGAAAGAAGCCTCACGAGTGTCTCTCTCTTGACAGCTAATTTCTCAAATGTATCGCTTGCATAAGGTGGCATATTGGAAACATGTTCCTCCCAATCGGTCAACCCTGCTTGTCATTTTCATGGTATATGGTTATCTCATGTCTCCCGGGGCGGTCTGATTTCTCCTCATACCTGAACGCCACGGCAAGAGCAACTTCCATTTGAGGCAGAGAAGTAATGGCAGCTCTCTGAGATGAGTATCCCCCCTTGTCTGATGTGCATTCAAGTCATGTCACAAAAAATAGTCTTTCAAATGTGTGTGCACATTCAAAGGTCTTGTGCACAGCACGCACACTCTGGACACTTAGTACACACAACCAAACACAGTCATTCAAACACACTCATACTTACACACATGCACACAAACACATGCACACAGGAAATTAATGAATTGTCACATTAGGCTCTTGAGTAATGCTGAAACTATCTTTAAGAAACAGCAAAATGCAATATTCTCTGATAGCAAAACAAATGTCATTATTGTACATGCTAAAACCCATGTTGTTAAAAGTATGTAATCTGGTTATATCTTCCAAATAATACAAGAACAAACCAAATCACTTTATGGATGCTGTCGTTCACCCACAATGCTTTATCGTGCCTGCGAGGCACAGTATGACATTTGACGACATCTATCTCGCTTGCCCCACACCTCCCGCCCCTTGCTGCCCTCTGCAATTCCACCCTGGGAATGTCAAAGGTCAAATATTAACAACATGTAACGGATTATATTACATAAAAATTGTGCCAGGATTTTTTTTGTTCCATTTTTCATTTGTATAAATAAAATCTATTACACATTATAATCTGTCTCTCTCTCTGCCTTTTTCTCTCCATTGGATCACTAAGGATTTTTCACTGGATGGCACAGTGCTGGGGCACAAGAGCGAGAGATCAAGCAACGGGGGAGAGAGATAGAGTGTATCATTCAGGTCACAAACTCCAAAACATTTTATTTTTTTCTTTCGTTGGTTTGTTGCAGTACAAGAAGTCATTTTTCATAGTATTTGTTACTTTTTGTTGCTTTTGATCATCTGGTGTCTCTATTTACATAGTAGGAATAAAGTAGATTCATGTGTGGTTCCTATGTACACGGTTATACCAATTGGTCGACCAGTGTGTTTGCAACTTTTACAGTCTTGCTTGTCACAACCACACACAGGAAACAAGTCCACTTCAACTGGCTAGGCTCTAACAGCAAAGTACAGCGTAGAAGGGGAGGGGGCAACACCAGTCCACATTTGCAGCCCCCACAGGATGCAGACCCAAAGTCAACAAATTGAATACTCTCTTCAAAACAATAGCAAGGCAGTCATTAAACTTTTCAAATGCCTAAAGCAAACAACCAGAGAGAACAGTGGAGAGAACTAGCCAGTCTTATGGATGCAGGCTCTCCTGCTCAGGAGGGGTGGTGCAGCGCCTCCTCAGTCTCCGTTTTTGCCTCAACTCCACTTCTGTACATAGTTGTCGATTCACAGCAAGAGAAAATGAAGGCAACTACACTGAATCAGCTCCCACTGCCTGCTAGGAACAAAAGCTCTTGCTCCCTTTTACTTAGATGGAGTACTGTTTTCACTTTTGATGTTCAGTAATGAGCACTTCTGGATGAGTGAGTGTATGTGTTTGCTTTGTGAATGTTCTAGTTTCTGTTCTGGCTCAATAAAAGATATTTTTGGCAACAATGAAGAGCTTTCTGTGAGACATTTTTTAGGTTATAATAGTGTACTATATTCCCTGTCTCCACAGCTAACTACTCCTATCAAATGATGATTCAAAAAAGACCTATGGATGGTACGAAACGAAAATGAGATAAAATATAAAATTATATTTCCCATCTCCGGAGGCAGGTCTGAAGAAAAATTACATAAAAAACTTCAACAAAGTTTTAGAGTTTTGAAATATCTGAAGGTAAAGGGGGTGGATCGGTACATTCAGAGTGCTGGACTTGGCCTTAGGGTACCAAAGGAACTGTGGAGGACTGGGATTGGAGAGAGCTGATGAATGCTCTGCTGAAAAACACCCATCACTCATCACCATAAGACAGGGGAGGGTTAAAGATAAAGGCTGATTCTGCAGAGTCAGCCACGACTCAACCTCAAGGTCACTCTGTTTGCTCATCTGTTAGTTAAATAAAAGTCAAGAGAAAGAAAGGCAACCAAACAAGCAGAAAGTGGAGAGACGCGAGAACGAGGCGGGCTAGGAGGCGGCTCTGGCCATCACATTAGTCCCCAACTTCCTCCTTCAGGCTCCAGTCACAGGCTGGTGACCAGCTGCATCTGTCCATCTCCCTCGTTGTGGGCAGGCTCCTGAGCCTGGTGTCCCTCCCCACTCGGTCTCCGGGGTGGGGCCTGGTAGAAGGTCTGCATGGGGGCCCCACGAGAGCCTAGGGCGGGCCTCCCGGAACTGTAGTACAGCTCCTCAGGGGGCTGGGCAGAACGGGGCACCACCTCCAGGGGCTCAGGACTGCTGTCAGGGTAGGGTGAGTCTCGCAGGTTGGTGATGCTGGTGTACAGGGAGTCACGGGCAGGGGAATCTGGCGCTCTGTTGTCTCCCTGCCCGCCAGCACTCTGGCCACTGTGGCCGCTGTGGCCTAGGCTCTCAGTGAGGTCAGCCGTGTAGCTCTCTGACTCCTCTGGATCGCTTTGGTAGAGGACCGACTGGGCGCGCTGCAACAGCAGGGGTTCCTCCAGAGCTTTATAAAGCAGCTCCACATCCTGCGGAGTGCGCTGTCGCCCCTCTCTCAGAAAGTCCTCGTCTTCGTCCATACCCATAGATGGCTCTGGCCCTGGCCCTGCTGTCCCCCGACCAACCCCACCATGAGGACGTCCCCTGGCCAGACTGCCACACACTCTGTCCCCTGCGTCACCTCCCCCTCCTCCACTTCCTCCTCCAACACCACCTCTCAGGTTGTTGTGCACAAGCTCAGAGATGATCATTTTCTCAAAGGCTGCGGCATCTGAGAGGTTTCGTCGGATGCCTCCGCCTCCCAGGGTCTCTGAACTGCGGGGATTGAAGAGTGGTGGGGGACTTTCTCCACCCCCGCCACCAAGGAAGTCACAGCTGCCCCCTCCTCCACCTGCTGGGCCACTGCGCAGGGAATAGCTGTTGTTGAAGTTACCATTCAAGGGCAGAGTTTCCATCCCACAGGGGTCACGGGCCTTAGATAACGTGCTCTCTGGACCCAAACACAGAAGAGAGACAGAAGACAGAGGGTTTTGGCATTATCATCATAGAGTCACATTCAAGTGTCAGTAAGAGAAGAAGAGCAAATATAAGATGGTAAAGTGTAAGGTGGAGTAGCTTAGAATGATGTGAACTAAGGTGAATGAGACTTACTTGGGTCACGGAACGTTCCTGTGTATACCAGAGAAAGTCATGTGGAGTGAATAAAAAGAAAGACACTAGTCAGTAAGTGTTCTTTAATGATGCAACATTAACTTGATGTATTCATTTTAAAGACATTTGAAAAGGGAACCATTAATGGAATAAATAATATCCTTGTCCATTCGCTCCTTTTTTTCTCTCTCTGTCTCTCTCATATCCAACCTTCCAAATCTTACAGCATGCACAATCACATTAACTCTGATTTATGCAGACTTAGTCGTGTTTGTTTGACATCATATTCTTCCAACATTTACCAACATTCCAACATCTAAGCCACAGAAGATACTCTGGATATTTATTTACTACTGTCAGTGATACCTGGATACATACATAATTCATAAAAACCCTTGTAAAGTAGCAGTAATGTTTATTTTACCGCTTTCTCTCCCAAATTACCATCACACAGAAAAGCAAAAGCCAGAAACCCAAAAATTGAGAAGTGCGTTAATTTTTTACATTTAATGTGTTGTGTGACTTTAATCAACGTTCTTCTTCAGTGGTGGTGTGGGTAATTAGACATTCTAATGAAGTGCTCTCCCTACTTCCTCTCCCACTCTCTTCTAAAAATGTCTTGGCTGCCAGGCCTGTGGCCATCAGGCTTGACGTATTGTGCGGAGGGGCTTTAAAATATTTAACAGAAACGCCGCCTTAAATTTCAGTCCTCAGACACTGGGCCTGATACTCTGCGGCTGCACAGTCAGCCAGCGACCTGCCACACACAGTCATAGTTCTCGCTTACCAAGTGAATATTGGTACTGTGGAGGAGCAATTACCAGAACATGTCTAATTCAGCAGTTATAGGCATCCAAAGCGTGGTGTGGGAATGCAGCAATGTGATAAAACAGCCATTAGGCTGCTGAAAGAGTCCCGCTCTGAGATAGAAGCCAGTATGCACACACACAGGCACTTACAGTGAGCACTCACACCTGACCGGCCTACACTCAGATGGACCGTCCCTGGTCACAGGGCTGTCTGATCCCTTTCTATGGCCATCATGATTTAAAACGACTACTTTTTCTGTCTGGAAACAGAAAAACTGTCCTCAAGATTTCTGGCAGTCACAGCTGTAGCTAAACTTCTAATCAATTTGTGGCTGTTCTCATGAAGATTCAAGATCTGACCAGATGGCTGGTTAGGCTGTAGGCACTGTTTGGCTCTGTTATGCTCAGTCTAGTGAATCCGTCTGACAGCTACATAGTCTGAAAAAAACAACACACAAACAGGCCCTCACACACACACACACGTGCACTCAAATACAATAGTGAGTTTGTGTATACGTGTCATAATACTGACAGAGTAAGAGACAGAAGGACAGCAAGTGTGCACACTTTATATACACACGCATGCCGACAAGACTACACACAAAGACTGGAGTGTTTTTGAAGAGCTAACCGGTAGAGTTGAAGACGCCAGGTGAGGGCGGGGTGAAGCTCTCAGCCAGCAGAGTGTTGTAAGGAGAGGTACCAGTGCGAGTCTGTAACACCGGGTTCGTCAAAAGGTGGTTGCCCATAGTCGCTGCAAGACACACACATTTAAAAAATGAGCATGATCATAAATAGGCTCTTATCTTTGTGTCAAATGTATGTAAAGCAAGCACAAGCAGAAACACTATTCACAATAGGTGTAACATTTTGAAATTCACGTTTCCAGACTCAGTAATAACATCTGGAATCATAAAAATATTTACTGTTTATTCAGATGGGGCTATTTTTGTTATGTCGGTGCTTTATGGAGTAATGCATTTCACAGTGTTCTCCTCAATGTTTATGCCTGCTGATTGTAACCTTTGAGTAAAAATACAATTGCAGGGGTAAGGTACTGTTTGGAGCATTGCCATTCTTTTTTTTTCTCTCTTTTGGCTCCTGACAATGTAGTCAGATGGGGGAGAACAGTAATGCATGCCATTATGTAGTCTAGGGGTGCAACCATTGAAACACAGTTAATTTCCCAGTGAAATGTGAATGCCACTACAAGACAAATATAATTCAAAGAAATGGCACACTGAAAATGTTGTATAATGCCCATGTATGGCTCCAGCCTGAGGCAACTCAAACAGAAATGCCATGAAATTAAAAATAGGACAGCATGACGGAGAGTAGACCAAGGCAAAGTGCAACCTTCAGGTCTCACGACTACCTTTCATCACACAGCAAGGGAGCAGGGAATTCTAAAAAAATAAAATATGCACTCGAACACAGCTATTTATTTGTCATTTCCCCTCCTTTTACACTTCCCCTGTCCATCTTTCTGGCATGCCACACAAACCCCTCTCCCTCCATTTTCTGGCTCGTTCTGCTGTGTCTTGACTCAACCACATTTTCTCAGTTCCTCATGCCAGAATTTTTAACAAACAACACCAAATTAGTTGGGATTAGCTGTCTGTGTGTACCTCATAGGAATATCCTGTAGAAAATTAAAGGAACTAGCTTTAAAAAGGGAGAGAAAGTAGGACAAGGGGAATCATGGGAGGCTGTGTGTGTGTGTGTGTGTGTGTGTGTGTGTGTGTGTGTGTTTGTGTGTGTACTGCAGGCCTCATCTTCTGGACACATTACTATTGTCAGGAGGAGATTGTAGTTCATAAAGAAGTGAAGTGGAGAAATCAAAGAGATCCAAGATGCCAGTGATAACGACGCAGCATCTCTTCTCCAGATTCGGCCGCTTTAATTACTCCTCCATGATAGCGCCTCTCTCTCGCTCTCTATATCTCTCTTTTCCTCTCCCTCCCTCGTGCTCCCTTTCGTCTTTCACTTTCTGCCAACTGACAAACTTTTCTCAGAAGCACAGAAAATAAAGGCTTCACAGCACAGTTGCTTGTGTTTGACAGCGCAACATGGACTGATCCACATTGTGTCTCCACCAGGCCTGGTGATTGCTCTATCGTGACGAAAAGCTCCGGAAACCGACCCGCCCGACGCACACACACAGACACACACCCACACACACACACACACACCTCTCATCCATCCAGCTCATTCACAGCACCCCTCTTCCTCACCCCCTGCCTTGCTCCTGTCACTCTCCTCAATTAGAATAATTACCCCCTGTTCGCTCACACGCTAATCAGTTCATTAAAAAGAAAATGGATGAAATTAGCATAGAGAGTGATGGCTGATTTAGCAACTGCCTCTGTGTCATCATCAACAACCCTCACCCCCTCCAACTCAGAACCTGAGCCAACCTTGATCTATGTCACCGATGGGTGCGGCGGTGACGCCACCAGTTGCTGAGGCTAAGACAATCAGTGACTCCAAACACATTTTTTTTCTTCCAGTCTTAAATAACTGCTCGTAACGTATTCATGTGCTGTGTGGGGTTCAGAGGGTACTGCATGTGTCACTGTATTCAGGCAAAATGTGACTGATCCCATGCAACTATGAGAAGGCTAAGAGGAGTTCAAACTAGGGCCGGCAATCTCAGGTTATCGCATCGCACAGTGCTATTACAGTGTTTTGCTATAATGACAAGATATATTCCTAGACCTTATGTGGAGAATACACTCTAAATAGGAAGAACATATATTTAGAAAGCAGGAATCAAACCTGTATTGGCAGGAACATTTTAATTTTAGCTATTATTAGGTATATTTTAGGTAAAAGATCTGAGTATTTGTTCTACCACTATGTGATCTAAGATTTGGTCAAGTGACTTCATGTAAATTAAATTAGTATTATTGACTTTAAATTATAAATACACTTAAATCTGTTTTATTGCCGTACAGGAGTTTATTGGGTAGGTTCAGGCAGGAATATGAACTCACTAACATCAGTGGCACACCCACACACATATTCACAAAACAGAGTGTTTGAGCTCCATTCTCAGTGCTTTCACTGACCAGCAGCTGCCACTGCACTACAAACGGAAACCCACCACCCACCAACCAGCACTGAACAATATGTTGTTCAGTTTAAGCTACATCTATTGCTGCTCACTGGCTGCAAGGCAATCTGAATCATTAGTTAACCTTAATACTCCAGGCATGTGAACATATTCATCATCCTGTATACTGTCATATGAGTACATCAAACACTGAATAACAGTGCTTTACCCTGGCTCTGTCCACTCTGTTCCCATGCTTTATGTGTTTTGGTTCAGTTGTGTATATGAGTGTGTTAGAATCTATGTGTTTGTGTGCATTTAAGCGTGCATAACTTAACGATGGAGAAGCAGAGCAGTGATAGAGGGAGGCCTCACCGCGGTTGAGTGTTGGGGTGCTATTGATATCTCCCGCCATGAAAGAAGATTCTGTCTGCTTCCGAACCGTGTCGTTCCACATCCTGCGGATCCGACTCTGGAAGAAGGAGCACAGCGCAGTGAGTGGCAGCAAACAGACAACAAGTTAAATATAGAAACGCGGCGGGTAGACTTTGTAACTCAGTGGGGCTGCTGTAATCAAAACTGTGGGGCTTGCTCTAATCCGCAAAGAACAATAGGCAAACATGCCAGACAAAGAGATTGAGGTGTTGGGTAAAGAGGCACACAGTTATGTCATGTTATCATGAGGGACGCTAATAAACTCGTGATGTGTAAGGCATGATTGCAGTAGCTGATACAATTGTTATTTGGGAGTGTCTTATTACATTGTGGGAAAGCTTGTTTGTTGATTGTGAGGACTAACTTTTAATGTGTGTATATTGTATGTGTCTGTGCAATTGTTCTTATGCCATTATGCACAGTATTTACGAATGTCTTGTATGGTGCCTGTGTCTATATTTAGTACATGGGCTTCAAAGGATATCTTCATTAATGAGTCATCTACTGTGGTAAGCACAGGGCTGTCAGTAATGGATAGAAACATACATACAGAGGTAAGCAGGCTGATTAGACCAGATTTGCAATAGAAATGAAACACCTCATATATCATTATGTAACATAACAAAATGTATTGTAATACTGGTCTTTCACATGCTGCATATCTCCTTGTCATTGGCAAATGAAAACAATGTGACTGTGGGCAGAAAAGTAAGTTAAGTCAGTAAATTCAAGTGCTTCGCAAAGTAATCGGTGAGTCATTGGTATTGATCAGCAATCAAACCCCCGCTGATACACTCATTTGTACTTCAGAATTATATAACAGACCTTTTAAACAAGGGAAAAAATATACCAGCATGGTGAGGAAATTGTCCTTGTTTCCAAAGCTATTTATTTTGTTTTGACACCCTTTTTGACAGTGTTCTAAAAAAAGTTGGATAAGAGAGTCATTTGATTCAAGAAAATTGATTTTTCTTTTCATTCTACTGAAACACGCTGATTTCCACTGAAAACAAGTTAAATCTTTTTGCTGCACAGGCAGATTTACTTCTCATTTTTTCAAAGAAAAACACAATTTTAAAGCTCAACAGTGGTCTGATTGATGTGGAAAGATGAACAAACCGAGCACCTGCATTGTGTGCATACTGCTTTGTGTGTGCCATAATTTATGTGTGTGTTTCCGTCCTGCCTGCACCTGTCTGTGGGCCGCTGCGTGGCGAGCTTGGCTGCCGCTGTAGTAGCGGTTGTTGGCACGCAGGCCTGAGTTCTTCAGGGAGCCGTGGGAGCTGGTGGTGGAGGTGCGACTGCAGCAGTAGGAGTGACGCAGACACTTACTGTACTCCTTATGGACCTGTAAAAAAATAACATCACCAGCACAGTGCGCAGGTTTTAAAGCCACTCATAAACACAAACACTTTCAATAGTTTCAATAGCCTGGACTCAATGTAGACCAACAGAGGCTTTTAACACACGGCAACAGCAATATGTACTTACTGCAATCACTCTGAGCATATATGCTGAATATCAATCAGACGTTCATCCATTTCCACAGCAATTCATCTGCTTACTCATATACAGTAACTCTTCAAGTCTTGTATTGTTACCTTCTTCTGCAGGGCACAATGGAAGATGAAGATGAACATGCCCTGGAAGGCGTTGAAGGTGGTAAAGAGGTAGGCCATGATAACTGTGTTCTCGTTGATAAAGAGGAGGCCAAAGGCCCACGTCAGCCCCAGCAGGAACAGCAGAGCAATGGCCCCCAGAGCCCACGACCTAATGGAAGTGGACAGAGAAAATGACTTGATACACAGAGAAATTGAATCAATTTGGAATGCATCTGTCTTTGCTGTTTATTTATCATTAGCTTATGTTTCTTGAAAAACAGACACTTGTTTCAAGGAGTATGTCCCCTATTGAATAATTTGAACTCACTTAATGTTATCCAGGCGGCTGGAGTCAGGTTTGAGTGCTGAAGAGTTGCGGATCATCTTGTGTAATGTGATCATGAGGAAAATGAGGTTGAGCTAAGGACAGAAGATAGGAAGAATCAAATAAATGTGTTGTGAACTCTCCAAAAATAACCTCACAAAGCAAGCACGGTGAAATACTTTGGGTTTGACTGGGTGATATCAAAATAGAGAGGGGAATAATACTGTCAGACAGTAAAGCTAATACCATAATAACAAATGAAACGGGTCCAATGAAGCTCCAGATGAAGTAGTTATCCACTCGCAGCCAGCATCTGGAGTGGCACAGAGGAGAAGAGAGAGTTACACGCAACTAAGCTCACGAACAAACACATGCACAATCAGACACGTGCACACACACGCACACACACAGGCAGACAAGCACACACACTATTTCCCTGTCTCAGCGGATTATCTTATGAAGGCTAATCATCAGGCTTTGGCTAAGTGTGTTCAGAAAAGCCAGTCCACGGGGAGGTGCAAGAGCCGTTCACACAGCACTGCATATTACATTTCCAGCTGGGGGAATAGCATAATCCTACTTCTCAATCTGCAGGTGCAAAAGGCCTGTCTTCACACGTACGCTTTCTTGGTCCCATAGCTCCTGTAGTCTATGGCCGCAGAGATGCCCACCACCAGCGCAGGGAAGCAGTATCCGCACAGATAGTAGTACTTTTTGCGGGAGTACTCGCTCTCAAAGACCTCTACCAGCATGAGATAGAGCTGCACACCCTCCAGACACATCCAGGAGAAAGCAGCCAAGAAGAAGAAATGCAGAAGACCAGCAAAGATGGGACAAGCAATCTGAGGATAAAAAGTATTCAGATGAAGGAAACGAAAAAGTTGAGATCAATGCACATTACCGAATGAAAAACAGGAAAGAATGAGCCAAGTAGTAGTTTTGGATTTTCACAGAGGAAAATGAAAAGCTGCCCCCTGGGTGACTGACTCTGTGCATATTATTGAATGGTAATTCACTACTCAGTGCAGTAAATGTTTTATAGAGTAAAGTAATGACACACTGCCTCAATGTCAGTTTCAGTCACTATTCAGTGAAAAAAAGTTGTGTTACACTGTAACTCTCCATGTCATTTTAAAGTTGGAAAATACAAAAACTAACCTGATCCGGTCATTCAATTTCACAAGGTGCACAGGCATATCAAAGAACAGTCAAAATATGTTTCCTTTCCAAACCCCCACCCCTCCCAAAAAACATGCATTAAACCTGAACATCCCTGACAGGTATCATGTGGCCCCAAACTCACATGGTATTCTGTCTTGTCGATGCCAATGAGGAAGAGCAGCTCGGCGATGAAGAGGTTGATGCAGAGGTTCTTGTGGATGGTGTTGCGGTCGGTCTGCAGGCCCCGCAGGAAGCAAAAAGTGGAGATGCAGATGGCTAGACACACCAGGGAGATGACAATCCCCACCCAGGTGATCACAAACAGGATCAGTTCATGCATTCGCCCCTGGTACTGAGGTCCAGGTAGTGTGGCATAAACAAGGGTGGGAAGTTGAGAGTGTGAAGAGGAATGGGGGAAAAAAGGAGGGCAGAGGGACATAGATACACAGCAGGATCAGACATAAAGGATAGAGAGGGAAAAATATAGGACAAGACAGCGGAATGGGAGATGAGTACAGAGATAGATGGGAGAACAGTGGAAGGAAGAAAAAATAGGGGGATAGATAGACAGAATGGGGGAGGGGAGAGAAAGAGCAAAATTGCTTTATTTAATATTTGTAAATATATGCAAGGAGCTAAAGTGTGAGACAAGAGACACAACGTCCTGAAAAAAACAATACATGACATTCAAATTCATGTGAATGTCAGCTAGAAGTAGCAGGACATGAATTTGTAAGCATGTGCCTCCCTGAATGTCGGAGTGAAAGAAGGAAAAGAGAAAATTCAAAACAAAGAGCTTGTCAGCCTTGAGAGGATACATTAATGTGCATGTGTGTGAGGCTGTGTGACTGAGAGTGAGCAAACGCTAATGCTCGCACGAATGAATGTCTGCATAAATTACTTGGCTTCCATTTTAACCGTGTGTCAGCCACGCCCTTGTTTACTTACATCCGGCTCGTGGTGAGCCATGAGCACGGCAAAGTTGGTGAGGTGGCTGCAGGAGCAGGTGGTGTGTGTACTGTTGGTGTCCAGCAGCCTGCAGCCCTGCGATGACCACTGGCCTGTCATGGAGCGCTCAGAGTAGTTCCAGAAAGAGCAATTTGGACTGTAATAATTCTCCAACTGTGGGAAAAACAAAACAAAGAGTGGGCTGATGGAAAATGTTCATGCTAGTCCATGTGTCCGAATGTAATTTAAGCATTGATAAGGGTTGAATTAGGTCACCTGTAGGTGTTTGAGTGTGAAGACCACCGGCTCAGTGAGAAACACTCTGCTGGACTCTTTGTTGATGGAGGCAGCAATAACATGGGAGTTGACCGCCAGGCGCTTCTTATCGTGGCTTAACCCCTCCATTTCCATCTTCACTGTGGCATTCTCAGTGGACAGGAAGGCCCCCAAGTTTTTATATAAAATAAACACCACCTTGATTTGTCCTGCACACGGAAAAAAAAAAAAGATGAACAGAAAGAGAATGAAAGGGTGATAATGTGAGCAAAAGTGAAAAGAAAGGGAAGCAAAAAAAAGCAGATGTTATATGAAAAGATACAGACAGAAAGGGGGAGGAGGGAGAAAAAAAAAGACCAAATACAGAAATGGGGGCATAATATGGTAATGCCAGCGAGAGTGACAGAGATAGAGAGTGGGGAGTGACAGGGGGAGCGAGAGGGAGACAGAGAGAGAGAGTTAGTGAAGGTTAGAATGATGGTAAGGACCGTTTCATTTTGACTGGTGGAAGAGAGCGAGATTTAATGTGGAGGGCAATGGAACATTCATCCCTCAAGCATTCACAGATCTCTTATTATTCCATATGAATATTTCATGTGCGTTTGTTTCAATCATTCTAATCTCGTTCCCACTGCAGAGCCGAGCGGAGACAGAAAACAGAAATGGGTATGGGATGAGGGGCCATGGAGGGAGGAGGGGAGCGATGAAGAGGGGGATGACAGAGAGGGGGGTTAGAAACAAGAGAGATGAGAGAGGGGGATAAGATGGCGGAGAGACGGAGCGAGAGAATGGAATGGGGAAGAGAGAAGAGAGGGAGTGCTGAGATTGCTCTGTCAGACTGGGGCCGATTGTAATCTACACGCCTCCCCAGCTATTCTATTAAGACTGCTGTTAAGAAACCATCAAGAAAAGAAATTGTCTCAGCACTTTTGTTAATCTGATTAGCCTATTATTATGAACCAATAACTTAGTCAACTGCATGCAGATTGTTTTAAGCTTGCATGAAAATGCAAATGGAAAACATAAGAGCGGGCTGCACAGGAGAGTGCAATTTTTCAGGCCTTGGGGTGAGGAAGGGGTGGGATAAGGGCTGCTGACCGTTGCGACTGTACTGCTTGATAGTAGACGCCGAGAGCTGGATGGTGCTGTCGCTGGCATAGTTCTGTGGGAAAGACAAGTCCTGCAGGTCCATCTCTGTGTTTAGAACATGCACCTCGAGATCTGGTGGCGGAAACACAGCACGCAAATATTTTATGAAGACCCCTGCACTGGTAAAGATGCAAAAAAAAAAAAACACCCAAGAGAAATGTAAAGTCACAACCTGGAGGTACAATTCCACTAAAAATAATCCAAACTGTGGCTCCCTCATACATTCACCATAATTTACACCATTTACTGTACTGTTTTCTTACCAATGCTGAGTGCTCGGTCAGAAAAGCGATTCCCATACATGTTGTTGGCCAGCAGGAAAGCTCCTTTTTCTAGGACGTCCAGTAGCATGGTGGCAGTATGAGCCTGCTCAGTGCTGTTCATGTCCTGCCACGATTCCAGGGCCTCTGGACGCAGCAAGTTATCCACTGTCTGCACCACCGCCTGGCACATGGAGGAGGAGTAGCATTCATTACTACTACTGAGAACACTTCACTGGTTGTAACACTACTAGAGTAGTTGACAAGGAACGAGTAAAAAATAAATCAAGTAATAATGGATAATTAATGAATAGCTCATACATGGTTACAGTTATAATATAATAAGAATATTTAAATAAATGTAAATGCTCAGAATAATGTGGCTTTTTATCTTTAAAGTCCTTTTGTAAAAGAAGATTTCATTCTCACTAAAAAATGAGGTTTCTCTACAGAAAGAGACACAAATAAAATAGTAACAGTAAGGTGACCACGGAGTATATTTTATATCTATATTTAGTGTGAAGCTGCACTGCACGAGGGGACAGAAAATAACACGTTCATAACAGGGCAGTAATGATTAGTTATTGGTTTTGGGTAATTTAGTACACAATTCTCAGTAAATTGGGAACAATTAATTAATAAAAGTGCTTAGAGTGCAGATTTACAGATATCTAGTAACTAATCATTAGACCCTGGTTCATGAACACAGTGTCAATCTGTTCTAATTTTTTTTCAGGAAGAGCCATTAACTATTAATTAGCTATTCAGTAATTAGTTAGTTCTTGATTTCTTCATTACCCGGTCCTTGGTAATTACTCTTTTTTGTACCATATTGTTCAGTGTAAACATATTACTTCAGCACTTCAAAGTACAAAGTCACCACTTTTTCACTATAATTTCCTAGAAACTCACCACTCCCCTGCACTACATTTATTACTGAGCTATGTCAGACATATCACCATTCTATTTCACACTTACAATTCATTTAATGGCAATTTTGATGGTAGTATCAGCTATCCAATTTATTGGAGTAGCCTGCTTGATGAATCATGTAATTCTCTTGCTCAGGCCTCTCAAAATGAAGGATTGACTGCTGTGTGGAATAAAGAGCATTGCTGTTAACAAAATGAATTTTGCATCAGAATGCACTCTATCCACTACAGAAGGAAAAGACGGATCGCGTTTTTGGTTCATCCTCTGAACAGTGCGTTTTTTACTGAGCTACATTGAAGCGAGTAACAAAAAATAATGATCAATTACATACTACACAGCAGCCTTTACATACATCTTGCACCAACATGGATCAGAAGATGTGGTGTCATATTACAGTATGCTGCAGACAGGTCAAGACACACCAAAGACTGTGTGCTGCAGAGTGCCGCATTTCATCATTACAGAGAAGCATACACAAGGCCTTTTCATGATATTACATTACAGCTTTCTCAGAACCAGAGATATTGCACAAATATTGAAAAAGCACAGAAGGGTGTAGTAACACAAACTGTTGCCTTTCATACTCGTCAAATTACATTTTCTCAGAGCCAAAGATATTGTACCTTATTGTGCAACACAATGAGGCCAAGGCCAATATTATACAGTTAGGCTCTATCACAGTCCAACAAGGCTAAGATTATGTCAAAGACAGATGACTTCCACATTAGCTGAACCCATATTTCAAAGATATGTACACCATAAGCAATAGAAAAACTACAAATCAGCTTTCGCTGTTCTGGAATATACTACACCAACATTTAAATACTGTACATGCTGTCTGCCAGGAGTTATACCAAAACTTATTCATCCTGCTCTTCAGCACAAACCAGAAATTCTATAAGTGATGATTCCAAAGGCAATATAAATCATAATACTGAGCACTGAGCCAAAGGGATCTCATCCACAACCCTAGTCTACTCAAGGATTTATCTTCCCTCAGTTATTCCAAGTCACAGAGCAGTCCTACTCCACAGGCATGTAAAGCAGGCAGATAAAAGAGAAAAGCTACCTGAATGTAGGCTCGACAGGTCCGCTCTCGCTTCTGTAGCTGGAAGGGAGAAAAAAACAACACCAGGAATTGAACAGTTAAACAAAAAAACCTGTAAATTAAAAACGCACTCGTCCTTGCATGTGCACTAGGGGGGTAAATTCGCATTAACCTGAGCGTCCTTTTCTAATACCTAAATTAAATCTAGGCGTGGGTGTGTGTGTACTTGTGAGCGTGTTTACACTTTCTTCTACCTTGTTGTAGTTTCGTGCAACAGTCTCCTTGTTTCCGGGCCTCAGGGCCTGAAGCTGGGCATCCAATATGTCCAGCAGTTGCTCAATGAGTCGCACGGACGAGCTGACATCTCCAGCCTGGATCCGACCCCGTGTGTGGTTCACCAGCTCTCCAGCTATGTTGGCAGCATTCTCACCGCTCTTTATCTGCACATGAACGCACACAAACGCACACGTGTTTACACACATGCATAGTATAAGGATGATAAAAACAGATCTGCTTTAATTAGTTGAGTCAAATTCAAATCGTTTGGATAACTCAAACTGTTAAATGTTCACATGCACACAAACATTACAAGAAACCACATGTTTTGAGTTTGGCTCAATATGAACAAAAAACTTGCTTGCATGCTATTTGTTCAGTAATCAGATTTCCCCAGACCACCTCCGAAAATATCTTTATTATAAGCTCCCCTTCCATCATTGTTAACAAAGATAGACCTTGCAGAATACATTTTGAGGTTTTTATTCTCTCTACTGCTGCTTCACTTGCAAATCACACCGTTAGCAACCACTTTGCAATTGCAATTGATTTTTGCCAAAAGCAGAAGGTATAATGGATTCTTCCAACAATGCTACTTTTCAACATGATGTTACTTTTCCTTCCAGGCACATGCACACACTTAAAAAACCTTTAAAAAAGACGGTCAAGGGTATGCACAGGTAAATACTCAATGTTCTCTCCTGTAGAAATGTAGCCACATAAACCTGTTTACTTTTAATTCACATATACAGTATATATTGACTTTTCTGAAATCTGATTACTGCCAAAACTGGGGATTAATCAGATTACTACAGTGTATATAGTAACACAGTTTGACAATTTAAATAGCTGTGGGCTGGTTAAAAACATTGTGCATTATAGTGACCATGATGTTTAGTTACTGCACAGGTATAATGCATTATGAGACTGGAGAAATTTAAGTGGCAGAGTACTTTGCAAGTTTTGAGGCCCTAAGCCTGATCTATAAAAATAATTTAACCAAGCTGTAATTAAAGTATATTAGTGAAAAAAGAGAGTTAATTAAGTATCAAGAGCAGATGCCTTGTAATGAAGGGCTAGTTGAAATGAGCCTATATTTTAATCAGGCCAGCCTCAGAGATATGTTAATGTGTGTGTGGAGGTGGACAGGGAGGATGGTCGGGGCAGTGGGGCAGAGGAAGGGGACAGACCCCTGGCCAGGGGGTACGGCTCCAGGTCTCACCTTCTGGGCCACCTGGTTGACCCACGGGGAGGTGCAGTTACTCAGGTCAGGACCCCGCGGGTTCCACGCGACCTGCTCCGCCAAGCACTGGAACGAAGCAATGCCTGGAGACGAGCAAAGGGAGAAGAAACAGTGGAAGGGGAAATTTCGGAGAGATAATAAGCGTTAGGCGTCTGCAATTAAAGGGGAAAATGTGGAGGAAAGGGATGACCATAAAAAAGTGCGATATATATATATTTTTTTTTACCCAAGAAAAATGGAATGAAATGAATTTTAAAAATGTAATACTCAAAGTCTTTGAAGATGAGAGGGAAGAAAGAGGGAGGAGGTAGAGTAAAAGGTCTGAGAGAAAATGGGTCAGAAGTGGAAAAGGTTAAATAATGGAGTGTAGGGCAGTGAGAAAGTGTGGAAGAAGATGGCAGGGGTGGAACAGGCTTTCATGCTCTAAAAGAAATGGTTTGAATCGAACATGTGCAGACGCACCATATAACATTTACTGTGCACACACAGACACACACCAAAGGCATCAGGCATGATCCCTCACTGTCAAATAAAAACACCTGAAGGGAAGCACCTTCCTTCAACCCTCATTTCCAGCTAGGTTTTTCTGTTTAGTTACAAAGGTTCAGAGAAAGGACATCACGTGGGAATAAAACCAAGAAGGGTCTATCTGCCGCTGCTAACACAAATAACCAACATCAAGTCCCAAAGACAAGACAGAGAAAACCGAAGAGAGACCGCAGAGAGAGAGAGAGAGAGAAAGCGAGGGATAGAAGCAGAACGGAAGAGCAGAGACGACAGAGACAATGCAGCAACGCTTCACAGTTGTAGAAGGATCAGAGCAGATGTGGCGTTGCATTTCATACTCCCTTTTTCTCTCTCTCTCCCACTGATTTTTTCTCCTCCTTCCCGCTTTTCTCTATACTCTCCTCTATCGACCACAGATTGGGTTTGAGAGCTCTGCCAAGACACGGCAATTAAGCCAGCTGTTAATTTAATGTCACTGCCTTTTACACAGAAAGCACATACAGAAACAGCGAGAGGAAGATGGAGGGAAATGTCTTCTTTCTGTGACTAAGGAGAGCTTTTTGATGGCTGCATGTTTAGAGGTATAGAAACTAGCATGAAGGGAGGTGAAGCCTGTGTTGTCTAGCCTTTCATTTCATTATTCGTTACTTTCAATCAGCTCTGTTTCTGCGGGAGATGAGCCTTTCATTTGTGGAGGACAGGCTTTCATCTGCGAATCCTCTGGGACTGTGCCTGCTGGTGGAACCAACGCAGGGACAGAAGAAGACAACAGCGGAAAAAAAAACTCTGTCTGAGAGCACAAACATGCTGATCACTCGGGCACATGCACAGAGATATATTGCACGCGCGAACACCCACATGCATGGAGGACATACTGTTTGAGTACACTTCGACATGAACCACCCACGTTGTTTGTTTCATTGAGTGGAAAAAATGCACACAAGTTTAAAAATACACACATGCAGATATCCTCACCAAGAGATCCTTTGGGACATGGGCGGTCTACTGTTTCTCCTCTCTGTGTGGTGGGCCACTGGACACCTCGGACCAGCTTGGCCTCACAGACATGGGGCTCTGGGCCTTGAGGAGGGCGGGGTGGGCGGCGAGTGACAGGAACAGTGGCTGTGATTGGTCGAAGATCGGGGTGCTTGTTGATAGAGCCAATTGGACGTGAGGTGGGGGCCAGAGGGCGGGCGGTAGAGGGGCTGGCACTGGAGGTAAAGGGCCTGGCTGGAAGAGTGGTGGACACTTGGGTGGTGGTCAGAGGACCTGAGGTAACCCGAGAGTAATACAGAGAGAAGAGAAGGCAGAGTTACAGACTACGAATGAGACCCAGAGTGAGTGAGAGACATTTAGAGAGTCATAAGAGGATGTAAGGGATTTGTTAGAGAGAAGTAAAACCCGACAGCAAAACCCAAAAAAAGAAAAAAGAGGGAGATCAAGAGAGTGAAGGACACATGCGTGAATGTAAGATGTCTCTCAGAAGTTGAGTTCAAAAGTTAGCCTGACAATAATTGGGGTGACAAATACTTTTTTGAGCCTCTCAAAGCCTCTTCTCCAGAGAGACGAGGAGAAGCAGGGGAGGAGATGGAGAGAAAGCATCATCACAAGTCGGGGGGGAAGTAAATAATTGATCAAATGTATCAGAGAAGTCACCATCACTAACAACCAAACCTAATGCGAAGATAAAAGCAACACGTCACAACTACAAAATCCTAACTGATCAAACGCAGAGTCAGTGTGCAACTCTTTGAGTGCTGCCGCCCGTGTGTCTCTGCCTCTGCTCTCGCTGGGCCTAATCCGAGCTTTACACAGGCCTTGATGCGGCTCAGATATACAATACATCCAAACCTCCCTCTCATATTGATGGACTGCCAAAATGCAGTGTGGTGTTCATTCTTCCCCTTATCATTTCAGAATGACTTCTTCATTATCCAGGACACAGAGAAGTTGATATGAAGTGCCACGGCAGTCATACCTGAGAGGCTGCTCTTTACAGTAACTATGGCTGGGGATTGAAATACAATGAGCTGATATCTGAGGCATCCAAATGTCAGATAAGAAACAGTCACAAACACATTCTGCATGGGCGTGTGTTCCAAGCAAAAAGCTGATTTTTTTTAACCAAATCAAACAATTCATAATTTATAACACTCTTGTTCATGACTTCATATTCTATGAATATGAAACAATTATAAAGGGAAATGCAGTCATTGCAAGTAAGAACTATATTTTATCTGAAATAAATCTGTCAATTTGTAACCAAAGTAATTTCTTCTGGAAGAAAAAAGTGTGATAATCTGTATAGTATAATATTTACTGTATTGTCAAGAGTGGAGGGTTTACTTTATTTGGAGAGCCAAGAATTAACACTCAGCAGGATATTACGTTTTCAATTAAATTATACTATCATAATAGCAATTTTCAATTTAAAATATGTTATGAATAAATCAATGTTACTAATACCTTATTACCAACTGGTCAACTCTTATAGGGTTAACATAATGAGCTTGTGCTCAGCAAATACTAAAAAGTCTACATCTCAATTTGGGAGAAACATATTATGCATACTTTTTGTGATAACCTTTAAGTTTTCTACCAATTTACAAATGCACAATGTATCATAATTATAGATTAGAAGTTCATTAAAAGTTTCCCACAAGCTTTTTTTTGACTCTACACACACTTTGTTTCCGTGATCACTCCTTACCCGTGGTGGGGTCTGGTGGTCCAAACTCCAGCGTGTAACGCAGCACATTATAGTTGTTCCAGACATAAAGCTGGTTGTCTCGAGGGTTGTAGTCCACAGAGGAAATATACTGATAGGGGTTGGGGAAAGGGATGTTGACAGGCTCCTCGCGTGCACGGTTGGTATTGTAGGCATACATAATCAGGTCGCCGCCTGCTTCGCTGTCATCGTCCTGGTAGACGGACCGCACCGCATAAAGCACACCACACGCCATGAAGGCGTTGGATGCCATCCTCTTGTCGAAGCTGGTCTCCCATGTGCCTTCAAAGCGCAGGGTGTAAGGGTTCACCTATGGGCAAAGAGAACATGCTGAACTTTAGTGAAAGATTTAATGTATAAATGATCATACTGGGACCCTTTAGAAGAAATGATCTGATCAATCATTTCTTATGCTGTTTACACAGCAGCATAATGGGACTTCTGAACAATATTGTAAAGATTTATAAGCACTTTGTAAGCACACTGTTAAAACATTTAAAAAGTAATTAAACTCTAGGCTTTGTAGAGGAGATATTTCTTTGGCTTAATGCAAAGCTGGTTCTGCTCAATATACCTTCAAACTGCATGCTGAGACATAATAGAGAACCCCATGTGTTGTTGAAGGAGGAAGAAAATAAAACTCCCCAGAAACCAAACAATTCCTTGACGATGAAAGTGATCACTTTCTTGTTTATTACTTTGTTGCTCCATTATTCTACACATTCATAGCTCATGCAGGGTTTGATATTTTAGATGGATAGTTTAACTTATACAGTTTGAAAAACAATTTCCTGTTAAGGTCAAAGATAGTGATAATAAATGGGACCCGTCTATCTGAACAACACATTAATTCAGAGTCTGTTTGTGTGGAAATTTGCTGCCTGATTGCAGTTTTGTTTGTTAAGAAAGAAAGAACCAACCGGTATTAAAATATGAATGTTTCATAGTTCACAGAGATGGATTATGTTTTGAGTTTCTCAAGTGAGCAGGGGAAATTATTTTTGGATTTATTGGATTACAGATGATACACTTTTTGTTTAAAGCTGTATGTACAGTATATGGTTCTATTGACATACAAGTGAGTGGACAACCTAACAGTGCCTTTTATTTTTTTAAGCCAGAAAGAAACTGGTAACAAAAACAAATCAAAAATGTACCTTACTAGTGGAGATTAGTTTTTGGATATGATGGGATTTGAAATTAGGCCTAACCCTTTAAAGTGATTTTCTATGGATCTTTGGCCAACAGCCTCTCTGTATCTCATTTGTCAGTGCACTTGTGTAATCTCAATAGTAAGTCATTCATGCGTGACATATAACCTTTTGCCCGACTAGTCAAATGAGATTTTGATATAATCCACTCCTGCATTTATAATCCACAACTCATCCCCTTCTGTGCAGCGCTGCTCTCCCACCTGGCTGACCACCAGTCGTCCGTTGTTGGCCTCAGTGGCGTAGATCACCCAGAGGCCGTTCTCATCCACAGCCAGGTCAATGTCCGATTTCCCTCCCCAGCGGTAGGGCGAGGTGTCATGATAGTTGGCGTTTGTGATAATGGCCTCGCCGCTCTTTATGCGCGTCCGTAGGTCATACTTGACTATGTTTCGTGTGCGTTCTTTGTTGTAAAATACTGCACCATCGTATACCACAAACCCTGTGCCATCAACTCTGTTGGGCAACCTGTTGAGAGAGAATCATGTGAGTGATGCAGAAATCCAGGAGAACAAGTCAATCCATCTACTCTGCATGACACAATCCTACAAGATGGCCTCACTGTGAGCAAGCTGACACCACAGTGGGACCATTCTGCCATCACCATCCATATCCACATCAAAAGCCAATAAATCAATACAGCAGCAGATGCTATTTGATCATCCAGGACAGTGGGAGGCGCTCTCACTTGTAGGTGGTGGTTGCTCGGTTTTGTTTGAAGTCTTCCCAGGAGGCATACTCATACAGCATGTCGGTGCGATAGGGGGTCCAGGGCATGACGTACAGACGGTCCCCAGACTGCAACGGGTCCTTACACCACGCCCCTGCCTGGTGCTCCGCCTCCTGCAGAGAGCTGGCCGCCTGCACCCGCAGCAGAGTCCCCGGACACACAAAGACTGGCACAGAGGAGGTGTGTTGGAGCAGAGAGGAGGAGGAGAAGAAGGAAAAAGGGAAGAGATAGAAAATGAAAACAAAGCATTGTAAAAATGAAAGATATCATGGAGATGGCAGGGGAGGGAGAGAGGAAATGGGAAAAGGCCAAAGACCATGGAATATAGAAAAGGAGAGAGAGACATGGAAGGGACGGAAGAAAGATGTGAGTAGATAAAAGTAGGTTGAGAATTGAAAAGGAGACAAAGACTAGGAGGAGAATGGGAGAGAGGGGGGAGTGAGGTGAGGTACAATATCAGATTTAAAATGAAGGAACATATAAAAGCTCATTTGTAGAACATCAGCATTGTGGTCGGAAAGTGTCTGGATATGATAAATGGGAGATTTCTGGCTGCCGTCGCGGCTTAGATGTAGTCTCTAATCTAATTTATCTTGGCCTACTTTTTATTTGATTGTGCATTTTCTATTTCAAAGACCTCTGGTTCTCCGCTGTGCTACTGGGTGGTAAAACAGTAATTGTGGAGCTTGTTTTATTAGGACTTAAATTTGGCTCTCAGTCAAGAGTAATGTCTCAAAGAAAAAAGCATCCTGGGGTAAAGATGTGAGGTTGGCCAGGCCTCCCCTTCCTCTGCAACTGCAATTCAACTTCACACACCAACACAAATACCACACATACAGACTATACAGACACAGAAAAGAGTCCCTATTCCAAACACATAGGCAGTAGATGCACATATAAAAATACATGGGAACCCTTACACACAATCCATATACCAAACAAGCACACAGACACAGACACACAGACACAGACACACAGACACACACACACACACACACACACACACACACACACACACACACACACACACACACAGAGGATGCCTGCTTTAGGCAGGTGGAGGTCATCCACTTGGGACTGGTGTAAATTGGCTGGCTGACACAGTGTGTCCCTGCCTGACAGAGAGAGTGCCCCGGGACCACAGGGCGTGTCAGGTGATCTATGAGGAAAGCTGCTGGCATCCTCGCCAGTCTGACATCAGAGTGGTACCGGCGACAGAGAGCGAGAGGAGAGAGAGAGAGAGAGAGAGAGAGAGAGAGAGAGAGAGAGAGAGAGAGAGAGAGAGAGAGAGAGAGAGAGAGTTGGAGGCACTACAGAATAAAACAGCTGAGGAGTCCCCACGTCTCCTCTGCCAGCTTATTTATGTGGCTCTCTGGCTTGGGGTTGCGACAGAACCAGACACCTGCTGGTCACCTCATGATTGAATGCATCTCTGAACTAATTGGACGCTGCAGGAGCATTTGGACACAGATGACATACAGCACATACGGATGCAGACAGACAGCACACACACACACACACACACACACACACACATACATGCTGCCATCCACAACATACATGCACACACCAACACGCATACATACACTGTCACACATTGACTGTTAGAGTGATGGATCAGTCTAGGCTCAAACTGTCTTGAATATTGCATGGAGTCTGGAGCAGGAGGAGAATCATAATAGAAAGTGGAGTTACTTCAGTCTTTTGGAAATCCAGCTTTCTCCTTTCGCTGCCTGTCGTGCTGTTGTTGATAGTGGCTGGTGATCTGTAGTGCTGGGCCACTTAGGAATTAGCCTGTTCTGTCTGAGGGGGTCCAACAGGGATTGAGACTGGCAGCCAAACAGGAATCTAATCAAGCTCAGGCATAAACAAACACTCTGAATACAGACTCTTCACAGGAGGCTTGTCATGCTCCATTGTCGAACCAAAATGCTCTCTCGAAAGCCTGAGGTGTTTGCTTTGCAAATATGAATGTGGGTGACTAAAATATGCAAAATAATGTTCAGAGCAATGGTTAAATCTGGCACTTTCAGACAGCTGAACAATGAACTTCTTGACTAACATCTATGCCAACTCTCCCTCACACCACAATCAAATTACATCTTTATCAGTCCAGACACAACATGAGTGCACTGCAAATAAATAGAAATTATGCTCCAAAATATTAAACAAAAGCCATAAAGTCTCTCCTCCCCACTGCAACTAGGACACTTCCTCAAAAGTACAATGCTACTGTAAATAGAGAAATAAACAGCATGCAGAAAGCAATGCAGAGGCTCAGTATGTAGGTGACCCATAAACAAAGACAGGAACACTCTGCCTCAAGGTAGAATAAAGGACAAAGAAACACAACCACGCATGCCTGTACTCTACAGTCGCAAAACGGATGACCAACCAGAAAAGTAAGTATTAATATACATGCTAAGATCCAACTCATCTGTTTCCATGGTACAGTAAAACTGATACTTATTAGTACAGTTAAGGACGGAGTAAATCTGTAATGCCTCTATGGAATAATATGCTTAATGGTCACTTATCCAATAAAACACACCTATCTTTAAAACAAAAATGAACAGAATCGCACAGCAGCAGATTATGAATTAGTCTGGACTCCTCTGATGATATAAAATATGGTAGCTGGATAGCCAGTATGACACAAAATCTTCAACATGCATTGGAGTGCCACTGGAATCTATAGCTGATGGGATTGGCTGAAATTTATCATAAAGAGGGTCATATCAAGACGACACATCATAAGAAAGCACAACCTAACCATTTTAATACAATACTGTTAATAATAACATTACATTAGATACATTTTTGAATATTGGCTTTAACTGTGCCAAACAATTTGGATTTAAGATCCTGACACAGTAACAGCTATAACATTTATAACTATAATGAACAGATTACAGCTCCTGATAGCAAAAGAATAAACGTTTAGGATTGGATCTATAGCCTTGGAGAAAGAGGGATGATGTACTAAGTCATCAGTACAACATACAGGTAAGAGACTGAAGGAATACGCAATCTATCATGGCTGCAAAATAGTTGTTGTCTGCAATACAATTTATTCTTACTATTGTGCCCGCCCCTGAAGATAACATGTGATTCTGTTCGTTATTGCACCTAACCTTCCAGCCCTGTACTAAATTGGTAGCAGTCTATACTCTATTGGGCTCATCATCACAAAAACACTGCGCAGCAGCATAGACAGTGTGTCATCCTCTTCCTTCCTCCTCCATGTCCCTCTCCATTCCCTCCTTTCCCATACAAACCCTGCTGGCTGCCGATCAGCAAGCCTTGGTTTATTCTAATGAACTGGTCGTTGGGTGGGCCCGGTGTCAAAGGGGCTCATCAATGGCCTCAAGGCTGTACGCACAGGCCATGAGGACACAGACATACACACACACAAACATTCACACACTCACAAGCCAAAACAGAAACAGTGGCCATGCTTCACACCCTGCAAAACCTGCCTAGGGGGCTTCATTAACTCTGACCTGCACTCCCTAGCCTTCCCGGCTGCCTTCCTGTTTACCAGCTCTTTCTGCCTCTCCTTTGCTCTGCCTCCCTCTCTCTCCTTCTAACTGTGAAAGGTGATTGTAGCAGCAGGAAGCCAGAGCAGCCGTGCCCTAGTGGTAGAGTATATAGTACAAGAGGCTATTATGACCACAGTATGAATGAGGTATTAGGCATTAGGCATTAAGCATTACGAGTAAATCTTGAGATTAGGCATTATCCTAGTCTGGCTAGAGCAGGTTAGCTGGAGTAAGAGCCATCTGGGATTATGTGAGATAGTTAGATTAATAGATTAATTCCTGTTTGGGTGAGGATGGAAATCTTGCAGTCATGATCATCCCAGTGAAGTCACCAGGCAGCGCAGACAGAACGCTTCTTTACCCTACAAACTAGCCAGATGGCTAATGAAACTTACCTTATCAGGGATTAAAACCCAGGCTGTAGCTATCATACTCTAGCATGCCAATAACTGCCACACATACAGGGAAATACTGCTGTAATAATTGACTATTTATCTCCATAATCCCTTTCCTAGGCACAGGTCAGCTGTTACTTGTCAATATGAGGCTGCAGTATAAAATGATAAAAGCACCAGAACTTTCCTGAAAATGACAGTAAATATCTCCCATTAGTGTCTAGCAGCAATTTGTGATCGACTGGTAACGCAATTAAAACTGAGCGCTGACAGCTTTGGGCTAAATTTAGACTTTTCATTTTGGTTGTCTTCTGCAATCCATGGTGTTTTCATGTTTGATGTGACAGCGTCATGTTGATGGTTAATGTACGACTTTGATGATCTAAACACCGCCTGCCAATGGTTGGCAGCTGTTTCTAAAGTGGTGTCCTTGTGCTGTTTGTTTTTTTGTTTGTTTATTTTTTTAGATACAGGGATCTGAAGGCTCTGCTGGCCCAAGCCTTTGCCCAGACCACAGTCATGGCCTGCTGTCAGGACTGACTGCTGCGAGCATGCTGCTCTAATTGAATCCCACACCTGTTACTGGCAGGTACAGCACGCAGGCAGCAGGGGGCAGAATGGAGCATGGCATGGTACCCCACGTCCATGCTGGACAGTTAATGGGCTTTAAGGGTTAGTGTGTGTACATGAGTGTGCAGGGAGTCTCCTTATGGTATGTTGATGTGCATTGATGAGCCTATTAGTGTGTGTAGCTGTGTCTTACTGTGTATTTGTATGTGTGTTTGTGTGTGTGTGTGTGTGTGTGTGTGTGTGTAGGCATGCATGTGTGCAGTTCAGAGAAACAGAGAGGCAGACAGAGAGAAGAAAGCGTGAAGAAGGATGTGAGCGTGTTCTGTGTGTGCAAACAAGAAGAGAGAGAGGAGCGAAGTAATAGAGAGTAAATAGGTTATTTCCTGTGAAATGAGAATTAGGAGTGAGTTAATCTGTTGAGGAGTGACATATAGTGACAAAGAGAAGAAGAGAGAAATAAGGAAGGAGAAGGGAGGGGCTCCCATTGTGTTTCCGCTTCCTTTTAGACTACAAGGGGGTCAAGTCATGGGAATAAAAACACAATACAGTACAAACAGCCTTGCACAAACATATACACACAGACAAACACCCTTAGGACACACGCACACTCTTAGACAATGCACGCAAGTACACACTGTCCAGACAGTGGAAGAGGCAGG